GACCCATCTCTCTCTCTCTCTCTCTGTCTCTCTCTCTCTCTGTTTTCAATAGTCAAGCTTGAAGCTCCCCTCTGGCTCTCTCTATGCCTTGTGTGGTCTCTGTCTAGAGATCCATCTCTTTTATCTCCCCTCTCTCTCTCTTTCTCTCTGGATCTTTCACCTCAGTTCTGCATGCATCTACCAACAACTTACCATATATGGAATCATTAGGAAAAAAGTCAAATAAGGGCAGAGATTTGCTAGTGTCCACATGCAGCAAATGTTGCACCCACAGATTTAGGGCCCGTAGGGCTGGCAAATGGAGCTGACTACGCATGGGACAAATCGGGTAGGACCCGGATAGTATTCTGATCCGGGTCCATCTTGGACTCGTCTAATAAATGTTGTGCAATACCGTGAAGTGGAAACTTTTGTCAAGTTGTCACTGGGTAGCAATGGATCCGATAAACTCGATTTCAGGTCCGATATGGATCCAAATTTTGAACCTCTGAAAGATCAAGTCTCGGTAGGGAGGGCCCAGGTCTTTCATGGACTACGAGTACAAGAATAAAGAGTTCAAATTTGCTTTCTCAACATAGGTTCAGGTACATAAGATTGAGAAGGTAAAAGTCTCCGTAGTTGCATTATATTGGAAAGGTCCAAGTCTAGCACATCCTCCAGTTTTTTTCTTTTTTGGTTTTTTTTCTCTCTAGATCTAAATTGAAACTATAAGATTTGTGACCACTTATACTGTGCAAGTAAGGCACACCTCTAAATTTTCATATAAGATGTACTTTAAGTGTCAAAAACTTTGTGATGGGTTGAAAAATTCATATTCAATCCTACATATAAAATTTAAAATTCTAAATTACAGTACAAATCGAGCAGATCTATAGATATTTGAAAATATTGAAAATCAACTGATCCAATAACTTATTATAAAATACACTATTTTTAGGACTTAAATTATTTTTTCTCTTTATATCTATATATCTCAAGGTCGAGATGATTAATTGGAAGGTTTTCTAACTTTTGAACACTTTTTTCTAATAGATTTTTAAGGTGTACCTAACTTCTATAGTATTAGATTACAACCTTATAGAAACTTCTTCTTTTATATTTTTAAATTATTATTTCCATTTTTTTAATCTAATCCTAAGGTCAAAAGCTTCTATAGTATTAGATTACAACCTTATAGAAACTTCTTCCTTTATATCTTTAAATTTTTATTTCCATTTTTCAATCTAGTCCTAGGTTCAAGAATGAACTTATCCTTATAGTGTTAAATTATCATTATCATTTTTTAATTTAGTCCTAGTGGTTCAAGTTGCATTACTTATTTTAATGCCTTTTATTTTAAAATTATTATTTCCATTGACCTAGTCCTACTGGTTCAATTAGCTGTCGGACAATTTTTTTACTAGACTAGGCCGGTTCATGGTCGGGCCGATCCTAGTGCCCATGAGAGGACAAAACTAGGGCTAAATAATGGTCCAAAAAGCTTTGCCCGAAAAAATTAGGGCTTGAGCCATATAAGGGCTGGGCTTGTTCGGGCCGGCCTTTTTTGGTCTATTAAGCTAGCTTGAACCAGTCCAATCCATCCCAAATAGGGCCAGCATTAGGCTCAACCAGCCCTATAGAGATTAGGGCTGGGTTAGGGGCAGGGACGGCCCCAACCCATTGCGAAACCTAGACAAAATTTGAGGATTCTCAAGGCATTACTACCCCAGGCGTGCATTTCCACGCCGTGTTCTAGATGTTGCCTTTGTGGACTTATGAATAAAGAGATCTTTATTTTTTTATTGTCATCATATAATATGCATACTTTTACTATTTTTCAACTGTCCGACCCATTTATTAATAGAGCTATTTATCTAATTATAAATAGGGAAAGTATAGAACGAAATCATTTACCTTTGATACAAGGTGGTCACATTAATCTTGACCATTGGATGTGAAATTGGGTGGTTGCAATTATTCCATTGACCAAGCTCAAACTTCAAAAGAATTTTTTTCAAACTTTGTGACCATCCAAACTATCAACCTTCACATCAAATGATTGTAAGGAATCGTGACCATCTTGTATCAAAGGTAAATGGTCTAATTGTATACAATCCTTTATAAATATTTATAGAATACCTCTTATGAATAAACAAAGAGTCAATTTTGAAAAAAATCAGAAGTTCCAATTGGAAATTTTAGTGATTCAGGATGAAAAAACTTGAATGACATGGATTGATTTACACCCCATATCATGAGACACCTGTAGTACATCTCGGTTATCATTAGTTCGAAAAAGATTGTTTTGATATTGAAAAAACATCTAATTGATCATCTTGATACCTAGAAGTATAGATATGTAAAAAAAATGAGATTTCAAATATTAAAATTAATGCATCTTGCAACACTTTATCTGAATCATCTATTTTCAAGATTTTCATATGTTCATAAATTTTCTTGATTTGAATTATTTTAAAATTTTATAATTAGAGATAAAACTAGATTTTCACACCATCTTAGGAATTTTTAATGCCAAAATTGCATGTCATGACAAAGTTTAAGGATACACCTTAATTTGATTATTTAAGGTTGCAACCTTACATATTAATATATTTTAATCCATTGACACTTTCAAGCAGTGATTAAAAACTCATTGCTCCATCTCTGAAACCGATTTACTCGGACTGGACTAGGACCCTTGGAAAAAGGAGAAACCTTAAAATCAGGTCAATCTCCGGATCAAGGGGTCGCCCATGACTCACCCTCAGCACGAATGGTGGAATGAGGTTCGAGATTGTAGTAAGTCACGACCTAAGGCTGATTTTCTCATTTTGATGTTATCATCCATGATGTGTGAGATGACAATGACCTAATTGTAGTTTAATTGGTCAAAGTGCATCTATTATCCATGATGTGTGAGATGACAATGACCTAATTGTAGTTTAATTGGTTAAAATGCATACTTTTTGTTAAACAATCTAAAGGTGGCGAATTTTGTCTCCCACCTTTCGTTTGGTCTAAACATGATCTTCCATTCATTTTTGTCAGATTCACTTTGGATCCTTCTTCAGTTTGATGAGAAAAATGAAGCACTTTGGTGCTTCAACCGATTTTCTAGAAGACTTCGGAATTTAAAAGAAAGTCATATAAATAAATTATAAAAATATATATACTAAAAAAAGGATAATTCTTTGCTTCGACCAAAGATTCTGAATTAGACCAAAGTGGACCAATGCACGTAGCTGTATTTAAAAAAAAAAAAGAAAAAAAGCCAATTATGTGCTTCACCCGAAGAGACCGAAGCTTCAATTGAAGACATAGAATAAAACCAAAGCGGTCCGAAGCAGGCTGAAGTTGATGCACCGGAGCTTCGCTTCGCTTCGATCTAGGATGAAAATACGAAGACTTCGGCCTCTTCAGCCAAAGCGAAGTGAATCTGATAAAGGTAACACCTTTGATTTTACCACTGATCTTGGGGTGCGTACGCCAAAAATTTGAAGACTTCAGCCTCTTCGGTCGAAGCGAAGCGAATGTCATAACATTGCTTCCATATTCTTGGAGTTATTACGAATTGACTACGGGCTGGGCCTAGGTCAAGCCAACCTTAATCTTGGCCCGGCTCTAACCCCTGTAGATAGGGGTGGCAATGGACTCGATTAGACCTGAGACCCGACGAGTATACCAGACCTCTGGTCAGGGTATGGGTCCAAATTTTGGTGGGTCCCAGCCGGACCCAACTCGTACATGTAGTCATAGGGTATATGATGCCAATCATGTGTCTTTAGGCACGCTCTAGGTGTTCATATTATCACAATATTGGCAATATTTATAATATTATTGGCAAAAAAAAGAATCTTATAGTCATAAGATATATAATGGTAGAAAAAAGGCAACAAGAAAAAAAAATCATAGTCAACGGGTCCAAATTTTGGACCCGAATACTACTTAGGTCCGGGATCGGGTCCAACTTGTAACGACCCAAATTTCTCTTTTTTTTAAGCATAATGAAGAGAGCGTGCGGCGATGGGAGAAGATAGTGCGCGGTGATAGATAAAGAGAGCGTGCGACGATAGAGGAAGAAGGCGCACGGCGATAAGGAGAAGAGGAAGAGAGCGCACGGCGACAGAGGAAGAAGAGAAGGCCGTGCATGAAGCAAGCCGGCCACCTGTTGGCTGCATGCTGCTTTGTGCGCCAAATGTCAATCTTCCGTCCATGTAAAGGCCACTTGGCGAGCATAGAAAGCCACCTACCCACCTTTGAAGTATAAAACCACTCTTTCTCTCTCTACACCTCACATTTTGAAGCTCAAGCTTAGCCCTTTGTGCCATTGTCGGAGAGTTTGGGAAAGCTTGGTGGAGGGGAGTGTGGAAGGAGTTTGGGATCATCTTTGGAGACTCAAAGAGGTAAGTAGGTCACTACCCTGTAGACCCATGACCATGAATTGAAGCATGAATTAAAGCATGAATGATATATGAATCATATATGAATGAAGTATGAATCCAAGCATATATAAAACATAATTTAGGCATGAATGATGGTTGAATTTAAGCACGAAATTGGGCATGAGATGGTATAGAACTGTGTACAAGGAATAGGATAGCAAGAATGTCATTGTGCTCTGTTTTTCCAAAAAGTTTGCTTTCTTTTGCCTGTTAGAAATGAGCACTGAAATCCTTTTGATGGCCTTGAAATTTCGTGGGGTAATGCTCTTGTGAGTCTAGTTTAAGCTAAAATTGGTTTCATGTTGTTACCTTGCATAGATTAAGAGTTAGGAGATGATTTTAAAAAGGATGTCATGGCTAGACTGTGATTTTCCAGGGATTTTACGTGTTCTTGTAACGAGATTTTGAAGAAGCAAATGATATCCTTTTGGCCTCAAATCTCCACCAATTGAAAGATGTTTTAGTCTACTTTGAGTTTGGTGTTTATGTCTAGTTGTAATTTTTGCTAGTTTGAAAGATATATTTCATATTGTGCTCATATGCCACGGTTGGTAGACCGTGAGAAATTCCATAAGTATTGCTTCTGTTGCATTGAGGCTTTGCCTAATCTATTAATGTCCAAATGACACAAAAATATAACCATTTGATAGATGCATGAGTCCTCTATGAT